GACCATTAATAATAGGATTAGAATATAAGAAAATATTAGTAGAAAACCAGAGGTTGCTTTGTAATTGTTAAATTTAAATGTGAGTTAATATACCTAATAGGTCAGAGTTATTAAGTTGTTTGAGAAGGTTAGGAATATAGTGTTGCAGTTGGATGTTCCAGATGTGTTTGATGTTGTAAATTGAAAATGTAAAAAGGTACTAGAGGGTATTGTACAGCAAAGTTTAGTTTTAAATTTAACAAGGCCAATATGCTGAATAAAGATTTTATTGCAGATAGGCTGACTAACTACAATGTTTTGAAGATGGTATTCAAGAGTAGAAATGATAATTGTGTTAATAATATAGTGGGCATGTGAGTCAGTAATATGTTTGTTTGTTTAGATTGCCTATTGTTCAAGGTAAACTAGCAACCTAAAAATTTAAAAAGTTGTTTAAAAGAATGTAGTAAAAGAAGATGATTATTATAGGGATAGGGATGTAGTAAGATGGAGGGTTATTGGTAATCAGAATAGATTTTGTAGAGTTAACTTGAATGTTAGCTATAGATAAAATAATTCAGCTATGGATAATATATTAGAAAGCTTAGTTTATAATAAAGCAACTTAAAGAATATCATCTATATATGCCAAAACAGAGCATTGTTTTTGTAGTGAGTTAAATGTTTGGAGTTTAAGATTGGTAATCCAAAAGGATTGTAAGATATAACCAGGTACTTATGCATGTATATATAAGATAAGTAAATTGTAGTATATATGCCATTATAAAGGAGTAATAGTTTCATCTTGATTAATATCATTGTGAACAGAGTAGGAGAAAATAAGACCAAGATTAGTAATAACTTGGTTTTAATGATCAGTCAAGAGTACCAGACAAAAAAATGAATGTTTAAAAAAAATAAAGTTAACAGAATCATATGTTTTACTCATATCCTGTAAAAGTAGCCAAATATACTTATGATTACAAATAATATCTTTAATAAAATTATTAAAAATGTGAATAGGAATTGAAGTGCTATTATTAGAAAGTGCAACATAATTAAAAGGTAAGAGAATAAAATTAGAAAAAAATATAGTTCTTAGTCTATTTATAAGGATTTTGGTATATAGTTTGCAGATATGTTCAACAAGACTTATAGGTTGATTAAGATTAAGATCACTATCAAAAAAGTTATGTTTGGGAATAGGATAAATTCTGCTATGTTTCCATTGTTTAGAAATTCTATTTTCAGAAAGGCAACAGTTGAAGAAACTAGTAATAGCAAAAGTGCAATCAAAGCTAAGGTGTTTGAGCATTTTATAACTAATGCCTATAGGACTACAGGCTTTGTTGTTAGTAAGCTAAGAGAAAGTTTAAGAGAGTTCTTTATTTGTAATGAAGGAGTTCAGAGATTGGTACCAGGTTGGGTTGATATAAGATACTAGTAGATAGTGTTGTTGCCAAAAAATTATCAAAAAGAGTTTTATTAATAGGTCTGAATGCAGTTCAGTCATGAAAATGTGATTAAACAAACTGTTTAATGAGTAGTAGATCAGTTATAAGCTCATTAGATAATTTTATATTAGAGAGATGAACAGGTTGATGATAGTAATTAAGAATGCTATTAATAGCTTGTATAGAATGTGATGTAAGAGTAATACATCTTTTGTTAGTAGTTTTGTTGATTTGTTGTCAAAATAGAAAAGAGTTTTCAAGATGACAAGCATAAAAAAGTTGTTTCAAGATAGAGTAAGCATGTTGAAGCTATAGTTTGGTGCAAGATAGGTTGATAGAGTTAAGTAGTTGAAGGTCACATTGCAACTGTTTGTTAATTTGAGAGATATTTTAATTAATGTTAGAGATGTCAGAATATTGGATAAGTTTTTTAACAAGTTTAATAATGTGACTAAGTTTTTAAAAGATAAATATAATAGGGTATTGTGAGGTGAGTATTGATGATTGTAGCTATGTTTACATGAGACTTTACTAGGGATAGTGTGAGTAGCAGAGTAAATAATAGAGCATTGAATTTTGTGCCAAATTGTTTTAATACTTTCATCAGTTTCACTATTGATAAGAGTTTTGTGCAGTAAGAGTTGTTGAAATAGGGTGTCTGCAAAGGATTTCTAGTTCTCTGCAGACATAACTATATAGTTAAAGATGTGACAACTAATACTAGTATGTTTACATAAAGGTTTGCTATAGACATGTGAAAATGTTTATGTAGAGGTAAGAATTTGATAGTTACTAGAAGTTGAGGTTTGGCTGTTATTAAGATTATAAAAAAGAAGAAATTGTATATTAATTGGTTAGTCCAAATATAGTTAATATGACTACTACTAGTGTTATTAGACCAGATAGAATGTTTGTTGTTAAAATGGGCTTCAATATTATATGTATTGGTATTATTAAAAAAATTAATAAGTTTATATTTAGATAGAAGCTATGTGTATTGTTTTGTGTATTAAAATCACTAAAAATAATAGGATGAATGTAAAGTTAAGAGGCTTGTTGGGTTCAGTTAATAACAGTATTTTAAGTTTAGTTACAAGTAGTGATATCAATTGATGACAGATAAACAAAGATAATATAAAACTTGATATTACTTTAAAAAAAAATATTAAGTGCTATAGCACCTTCAAGATGGATATAAATACTGTAGATATGAGGTTTAAGATTATTGTGGATCATGATAGCAGTGCCTTCAATAGAAATAGAAAAGTTAGACCAATAGTAAGTAAAAAAGTAATTATTACAAAAGAAAAGATTAGTTTTGTCAAAGATTTTAGTTTCTGTAGTGATTGCAATTAATATGTTATAGTTGAAAAATAATCTTGTCATGCTTCTTTTTTAGTAGGTTTATTAAAGCCTTTAACATTGTATGTAGCAATAGTTAGATTGAGATAATGTTGAATAAAGATGAGGAAGAATTACAATTAAAGATTAAAGAATGGTTGTCAAAAAATAAATCAAATAAGATAGAAGTAAAATTGAAGGAATTAGATCTAAGAGGAAAATTTATAATATAGAAAAAAAATATAAGTCAATAACAATATAATCTGATAAAAGAATGTTATTAAAAAAATATATGTGGGTTTTATTATAAGATGAATTAACAAAAAATGTGATGCTAAATATAGTTTTGTTGTTGTTATATTTGTCAATATATTGAATTAGGGTTTAGATAATTTGACCATAAGGAAGAAATAGTAAATAATAATAAAGAAGGAATTTGTTAAAACATGTATAAAGATCATAAAAGATTAAAGATGTTGTAAATACTCTTTCAAAATTGTCTTCTATAGAGTCAATCACCATATGCTTAGCTCTTATCACTATGCAAGATACTATAGTCTGCAAAAATTTACCTTCTTTATTGTTGATATTTTTTGTTTAAATTAAAAAAATATTTTTTATGATTAAGTTTCTCTTTTAAAAATAAATAATATACATAATAATAATAATAATATTTAGAATCATATTACAAAAATTAGATCAGATGAAACCTTTAATTAAGAACATGCTTAATATAATTACCTTTATTAAATTTTGCAAAAAATATGTAAAAATTTACTATTTTGATTGGCCAATAGTAATGACTAAAAATTTAGACAAAATTACACAAATTTTTATAAAAAAATCATGGCCACATATTAAATAAAGAGTTTTAGTTTAATAACTAATAGTGATAATTACCATGTAATATAAGTAAGTTATATCAAGTCATATTGAGTACATCAAGTCATATTAAGTTACATTAAGTTATATTGAGTCAATAGAAGGAACCATCAATATTATACAACTGATTTTTCACACAGTATACAATATATAAATAAATTATTTTACAATACTGTTAGTACATGTTCTGTTATTTTAAAATATTTATATATTGCACACTAGGTGAAGGATAAGTTGTGTAGCATCGATAGTTCCTTCTATACATTGAGTCACATCAAATATATACATTATTAGAATGAACAAAAGGTAATGATTTAACTAGAATTCAGTAATAAGTATTAGTATAACAAATCTGAAAATTTCATATTTATTAATATTGAAACATATAAAGTAAGTTTATATTGTATGCTTATGCTTATAAATGCTGAAATTGTTGAACCTTTCATACTATATATATAATAATAGCTTGGTACAGAAGGAAAGTAGCTTTTTATAAAACTACTATTTTGAACTTTACAATTATCATCTTAATAGTAAAGTAAGAAAGGCATTAGCAAAATCTTTATAAGAGTTAAGAATTGTGCTATATAAGGTAATTTTGTGTTGTGCTTATTGTTAAGATTAGCAAATTTATGAATTTAGACCATGTTTATTAACTTTATATATATAATAACAGCTTACTTACTAGTGAAACTCTACTGCCAAAATACTACATTAATTTTATCATAACCAATTTGGCATTGAAGTAGAAAAGTAATTGTAAAGATCCTTATAGAATAAAAGATTATCTAATAAAAGCATATTTGTGAAGACTTTCTATAAAAACATTATTTAATCTGTCTTTGTATAATATTACACAACACATTTGAGTTTTTGAAACCTTTTTGGCATTTTGTTAGTTATAAATATGAACATGAAAGATAAGTCAAAGTTATAGATTTTGGTTTTTGTACAGTTAGTAAATTTCTAATAAACAATATTATACAAACATAGAAAGTAAATTAGTATCAGAAGTTCAGCCAATTCAGGGCAGCTGTAATGATGTTTCAAATAAAAGTATCATCTTAAAGTCTGATAATCATAATAATTTTAAATAAAAGTATTATCTTAGAGTTTGATAATTAAATTAATGTTAGTATATTTGATAATCAGATTAATGTTAGTGATATAGTTTTTTCTAGAACATTGCAAAATCACACCTTAACAAGTTGCTAAGTACAATAGATTTTCTTTGTGTCATAAGTGAGTTGAAGTAAATGCAGAAGGAAATATTTGATGATAGACATTTGAATATAGTTTTTCTGAAAAGGCAGTTTATAAAAAAGTTATTGATTTAATGCAGTAGCATCAATGGCCTTCAAGAAAAATCAATTGCTCCTGGCATATTAATCTTACAAAGCCAAAATCATCAACTGAGGTTGGTATTACAAGTATATGTGAAGAACATAACCATTCTATGTTACATAATGTAGAATTATATGCTTCTAAATATCAAAACTTAACAAATAGTATGATGGAGGACATTAAATTCTATGTTACTAAAGGTAACATGAAAGCAAAACAGATATACTCTTTACTAGTTGCTAAATTTTCAGACTATGCAATATTGAAAAAGGATATTTATAATGCTATAAAAAGGTTTAAACCATCTCTTACAAGCTGATATGAAGATGCACAAAACATAATAAACAAATTGTTAAAGTTAAAAAATGAGAAAGAAGATTGGATAATTTATACAAGGATCGATTCATTTGATAATTAACTCATTGGACTGTTCTGAATGTTTCTTCTTTAACATCAGTGTCTTTTGCAATATGATGATGCAGTCCAAATAGACAATACATGTTGTACTAATTGGTTTAATATGTATTTAACCTTTTGGTTATTTTGCACAATAATACAAAGAGTTGATTAGTTGCTCAGTGTTTGTCTGAAGATAAAACAGTCCAAAGCTATGTATGATTTTTTGAATACATCTTTCAAGTAACCAATAATATACTATTAGTTTGTTTGTTATTAGATGCTAACTCTGTATTAATAAATGCAAAGGAATCAAAAATGCCTAGTACCTATTATTTTTTTTGTATATTTCATATACAAGAAAATTTAAGAAAGAATTTATGCAGTAAATTAGAAAAAAATAAGATATTTTACAAGAAGTTTTTGTATATAAGAAATAGTTTGTTTAAAAATGACTTTCATCAACAATAGGCACAATTAATTGACAAATTTCCTAAATCACAAGAGTATCTTAATTACAATTTATATCCAAATTATCAGGCATAAGCCAAATGCTTTCAAATTAATATTTTCATGACAGAAATACAAAGCACACAAAGAGTTGAAGTAATAAACAGATTAATGAAAGAAGGAACAAATAGTATATCTTTACTATGCACATTGCATAATCATATTCAAAATTTACTAGATAATGAAGCCCAATAAGTCTGACATAATAATTATCTTCAAAGTCTTCCAATAAATAATGCACCTTCAATTATAGAATCAATTTTTTTAAGGTTTTTGATTTAATGAAGAAATATTTGACTTCTTAAATCCTATCTGTTCAGTAGCAACAAATTCTCAAGGCTTTATTATATTGTTCAATGCTAGTTTCTAAAGATGCAATAAAGAATGCACAGGTTTGT